ATTGGTGGAGTTCAGAATGCTCTTTGATAGTGGGCGATCTATAAATCCCAGCAACTACAACTCCCAAATGACAAAATCAAATCAAGCAAGTATTCAAATTTGTGCGTATTGGGTATTTGTGTCAAATTTTGTCCAGTGAATGAAAATACATCCTGCATATCAGACATTTACATTACAATTCATAACAGTAGCAAAATGACAGTTATGACGTAGCAATGAAAATAATTTTATGGTTGGGGGGCCACAACAACATGAGGAACTGTATTAAGGGGTAGTAGGAAGGTCGTGGCAGTAGGAAGGTTGAAAAGCAGGAGTTCTCCTAAATACATTAAAGGCACTAGATACTCTCTGATCTTGAAAGCTATGGAGGGTTAGCTCTGGTTAGTATTTGGATGGGAGATCACCAACAAATACTGGGCTATTTTTCAGGTGATGGAAATGGCAAAACAATCTTTGATGATTTCTAAGAAAACCATACTGAATTCAAGGGGTTGCCGTAAGTCAACAGGAGACATGAAGGTATATATACCTTAATGAGAAGATACTCTGCATGAAATTGTTTTTGAAAGTCTTAAAAGGAACTTATGACAAATGAGGATATGGTTATCAGTTGCAGCAACTCTCTGTCACCTTCAGTGTAGGAGGCAGTATGCTGGGCAACTTGTGCTGGAAAGAGGTCTCATTTGGGGGGTTCCCAAAGGCATGTGGGAAAACCTATACGGTTCCGGTCCAGCGTACCTGTCTGAACGTATCTCCATCTACGTCCCACCTCAGAGTTTAAGATCTTCTGGTGAGGTCTTGCTCTTGACCCCGCCTCTGTCGCAAACGCGCTTGGTGGGGACGAGGGACAGGGCCTTCTTGGTGGTGGCCCTCCGCCTGTGGAATTCGCTCCCCAACAAAATTAAGTTATCTTAAGTCCCTCTTTTCCTTCAGAAAGAAGTTGAAAACATGGATGTGGGACCAGGCCTTCGGGTAACATGCTGACAATGACAATGATGACAATCGCTATGGAAATGGACTATGGATAAACTTTTGATGGAGTCTCTAACCACAGAATTTGGCTTAGATAAGGCCACCAGGCTGTTATATTTTAAACAGATTTTTAATTGAATTGATTTAATTTTTTTAACTGTATGTAATTATTATGTGCACATGGAGGCATCGAATCGTTGCAGGTTGGAAGCCACCCTGAGTGAGGTACAAATATCTGAAATAAATAAAATGTGGTCACCGAAAGAACAGAGTGCTAACCTAGAACGATGTTTACTGGATTGTAGCACTACAGATACAGAACCAGTAGACCAGGGCTTCTTAAACTTTTTTCACTTGCGATTCCTTTCCACCCTAATAATTTTTACATTATCTCAGGTAAATAAAATAGGTACAAAACTAATCATTTACTGGTAACAAAACAGTTATTTGCAAAGTTCATTAAATAGTCTGATGTTCCTTTGTATGAAGTGCAGCCAAAGCATCTTCTGTCCAATGTAAACACTGCATAACAGATTCATGTAAATGTCTAACACAGTTAACAGGAAAATTTTGGGGACCCCAACATTGAGTGAAGGGGATTCCATTTGGAGTCGAAACCCTGATCTAAGGCACTTAGTCTTCATTGGCAGTCCCAAGGAGTAATCAGAATTGACCCTGCTCAGCTTCCAAGATCAGATGGTATCGAATGCTTATTTATTTATTTAGAACATTTATACCCTGTCCCCATCCATTCTCGACCTCCAAGGAGGGATTGAACAGGCAACAATTCAATGCCGACACAATATAAACAGATAACAAAATACAAACAAATACCTAAACATACATATAAATATACATTAAAGGGGAAATCAACAGTACTTCTAGGGATCCTGCCTGAAAAAAGAGGTAGTGATACAGACAAGTTTTGCCATTGAGACATATCTAAGGGGTGCATCTAAGCTGTCGAATTAATGCAGCTCGACACCACTTTCATTTCCATGGTTCAATGCTATGAAATCCTGCAAGTTGTAGTTTAATGAACCATCTGCGCTCTTTGTCAGAGAAGCCTACCTTGCAAAATGAAAACTATTATTATTAGTATTATCATTATTATCTTTATCATCATCATCTTTATTTACATTCTGCCTTTCTCCACATAGGGACTCAAGGCAGCTAAGAACCACACAACCTAATAACAAGTTAGTAAAGATAAAAAGATTTCCCCTTGACATTAAGTCCAGTGGTGTCTGACTCTGGGGGTTGGTGCTCATTTCCATTTCTCAGCCGAAGAGCCGGCGTTGGTCTGTAGATGCCTCCAAGGTCATGTGGCCAGCATGACTGCATGGAGTGCCATTACCTTCCTGCAGAAGTGGTACCTATTGATCTACTCTCACTTGCATGTTTTCGAACTGCTAGGTTGGCAGAAGCTGGGGTCTAACAGTCAGGGGCGGCCCTAGGTAATTTTCAATGGTAAGCAAACAATATTTTGGCACCCCCCCCCCCAATCAATCACAATGTATTTTCTGTTCGAGTTCTGTGTGCCATATTTGGTTCAATTCCATCATTGGTGGAGTTCAGAATGTTCTTTAATTGTAGGTGAACTATACATCCCAGTAACTACAACTCACATATGTCAAGGCCTATTTTCCCCCAAGAGCGCATCAAGAGCGCCCCTGGGCAAAATCAACTATACTGCAAATGCTTACTTTGCGTAATGGGTTGAGCCGCCCCTGCTAACAGTGGGAGCTCACCCCGCTCCCTGGATTCGAACTGTCAACCTTTCAGTCAGCAAGTTCAGCAGCTCAGTGGTTTAACCCACTGCGTCACCAGGGAGGCTAATAACAAGTTGCAGCAAAACAAATACAAAAAACTTCACAATTAAATATTAGGGCATAGATATAAAGTTAAAATCCAATTAAAACAAAATAAAAACAATTAAAATTATGTTTAAAATTCCCCACCCACCCAAAATCCTACCCACCCTCTCCTAAATGCCCAATGGTGGAGAAATGTCTTGCAGTAAAGTTGTTAAAGTAGTGTGAACCTGCATTAACTCCACAATCTCAGGTTTTTGGAATAGCCCCCCATATAAAAAGGCAGCAGTTTGAACCCAATTCACTCAAAGAGCAACGTCACCCAGGAACACAATGGACACAGGTTCTATAGGGTTTCTTTATGTTTGAAACCACACAAACACACGCAACAACACAAACCTGTGTCCATTGTGTTCCTGGGTGACGTTGCTCCTTGGGTGAATTGGGTTCCATTTTTATACCTGGGTGGTGTTATTCCAAAAACCTTTGATTGTGGAAGGCTGTGCCTACATTATAGATTTAACACAAGTCCACACTTCTTTAACAACTTTACCGCAAGACAGTACTCTGCCATTGGCCATTTGGGGGGAGGGGGGTTGAGGCTGGGATTTTGGGCGGGTGGGGAGTTTAAAACGTAATTTTAATTGTATTTTATTTTAATTAGATTTTAACTTTATATCTATTCACTAACATTTAATTGCGAGAGGATTTTTTGTATTTGTTTTACTGTAACTTTGTTATTAGAATGTGTGGTTCTTAGCCACCTCGAGTCCCTATGTGGAGAAAGGCGGGATATAAAGATGATGATGATGATAAAGATGAGGATAAGAAGAGGAAGAAGAGGAGGAGGTAGAAGAGGCAGAAGAAGAGGAAGAGTAGGAAGAGGAAAAGGAAGAGGAAGAAGAGGAGAAGAAGAGGAAGGGGAAGAAGAAGAAGAGGAGGATAATAAGAAGAAGATGAGGTGGCAGAAGACGAAGGAGAAGAGGAAGAGTAGGAAGAGGAAAGGGAAGAGGATGAAGAAGAGAAGGAAGGGGAAGAAGAAGAGGAAGATAATTAATAAGAAGAAGATGAGGTGGCAGAAGACGAAGGAGAAGAGGAAGAGTAGGAAGAGGAAAGGGAAGAGGATGAAGAAGAGAAGGAGGGAAGAAGAGAGGAGAAAGAAGGAGGAGGAAAGAAGAGAGGAGAGAGGAAGAAGAAGAGAAGAGAGGAAGAGAAAGGAAGAAGGAAGAAGAGAAAGAAGAGGAAAAGAAGAGGAAGGGGAAGAAAGAGGAGAGAAGGAGAGAAAGATGAGGAAGAAGAAGAGGAGGAAGGAAGAGAGGAAAGAAGAAGGAGGAAGAGAAAAGAAGAGGAAGGAGGAAGAAGAGAAGAAAGAAGAGGAGGAGGAGAAGAAGAGGAGAAGAAGAAAAGGAGGAAGAAGAGAGAGAAAGAGAGGAAGAAGAAGAGGAGAAGAGAAAAGAAAGAGAAAGAAGAGGAAGGAGGAAGAGAGGAAGAAGAGGAAGAGGTGGAGGAAGAGGAGAGAAAAGGAGGAAGAGGAGGAAGAAGAGGAGGAGAAAAAGAGGAGGAAGAGGAGAAAGAGGAAGAAGTGAAGAAGAAGAGGAGGAAGAAGAATAAGAAGAGGAAGAAGAAAAAGAGGAGGAAGACAAGGAGGAGGAGGCAGAGGTGAAAGATGAGGAAGAAGAAGAGGAAGAAGTGAAAGCAGAAGAAGAGGAGGAGGAAGAAGAAATGGAAGAGAAAGAAGTAGAAGAAGAGGAGAAGGAGGGAGAAGATGAGGAAAAGGAATAAAAGAGGAAGAGGAAGTAAAAGAGGAGGAAGAAGAAGAGGACGAAGAGGAAGAAGAAAAAGAGGAGGAAGACGACGAGGAGGCAGAGGAGAAAGATGAGGAAGAAGAAGAATAGGAGGAGGACGAAGAGGAGGAGGAGGAAGAATAAATGGAAGAGGAAGAAGTGGAAGAAGAAGAGAAGGAGGAGGAAGAAGATGAGGAAGAGGAGGAGGAGTCATTTTGCCTGTATTGGGGACTGCCTGTATATGAAAATACACAGAAGAGATAGTAATAACAACACTTTGTTCCGCGCCTCTGCTTGGATGGTGTTGCTTGCGCCGGCCTTCCTGAGGCTGAGAGAGTGTGACTCACCCCGTGGCTTTCCGAGGGGTTTCCAGCCCGGGCCAAAGAGCCAGGCCCCGGCGCTTCCTTCCAAGCCAGCCCCAAAGGCTTACCTGTCTCGCCGCTCTGGAGACCCTCCTCTTCTCACCACCGCCCAAGGCTCCCTGCTGCCCCTTCCTCCTCCTCCTCCTCCTCTGCCCCGCCTTAGCATTACCTGCCCAGCCAGGTGAACGGCGTCTCAGGCCCCGCCCTCACCTGAGCTCAGGTGGAACCACGTGAGCGCTACGGGTCGCCTGGAAGGACAGTCTCCTCTGGAAGGCGAAAGGATTCCTCCTAAAGCAGGGAAGGTTGCCCCGCCCACTCTGGAGGATTAGCCACGCCCCTTGCCTTGATTTTCAGGAGTCCTTTTACAGGTGTGCCTAGGGCCCCCTTCGATTACACAATGTAGCACCGTTTTTGTTCCTGGGTTCTTCTAAATCCCATGTCCTAATTGGTTCTCTTATCAAAACATGGCAAAAGTTTACTAAACTGCAAAAAAACCTTTGTTTTTGTGTTGTCGAAGGCTTTCATGGCCAGAATCACTGGGTTACTGTGTTTGCAACAGACCTCACAACCTCTGAGGCTGCTTGCCATAGATGTGGGCAAAACGTCAGGAGAGAATGCTTCTGGAACATGGCCATACAGCCTGGAAAACTCACAGCAACCCAGTGATTCTGACCATGAAAGCCTTTGACAACACAAACAACTCTTGTCTTTCTCCCAACCAGCAACCAGGCAGGCTTTGAAGCTGCAAGGCCATTAAATGCTAATCAAGGTGGTCAGTTTCAGCATTCACACTGCCCTCCAACAGACTAGAGTTCTTTCTCCCACCCTGGCAGGCATGTCGCGGGGGGGGGGGGGGCGGGGCTTGGAGGGGGTGGTTTATTTCATATCATGATCTCAATATATCTCATATGCATGGGGGTATTGGGGTAACGATACAAAAGGTTTGCTAGGGTAGACCCTCTTTCACTCAGGCTCAGCCCCCCCCCCCCCCCGAAACAAACTCAGCCCCCGCCCCCCGAATCGAAATCCTGGCTACGGGCCTGCTTTCAAGTCATTTCAAACTTAGGTTGACCCTGAGTGAGGGCTGGGTAAATGACCTTGGAGGGCCGTATTCAGCCCCCGGGCCTTAGTTTGAGGACCCCTGTCCTAATTGGTTCTCTCATCAAAACATGCCAAAAGTTTACTAAACTGCAAGAAAACTTTGTTTTTGTGTTGTCATAGGCTTTCATGGCCGGAATCACTGGGTTAGTGTGTTTGCAACAGACCTCACAACCTCTGAGGCTGGCTGCCATAGATGTGGGCCAAATGTCAGGAGAGAATGCTTCTGGAACATGGCCATACAGCCTGGAAATCCACAGCCAACGACCATCAGAAAACACCGTGTTTTCTGTTGCTCATCTGGGTTCTGTGTGGTGGGGTTCAGAATGCTCTTTGATTGTAGCTGAACTATAAGTCCCAGCAACTACAGCTCCCAAATGTCAAGGCCTATTTTCCCCAAACTCCACCAGTGTTCACATTTGGGCATAATTGAGTATTTGTTCCAAGTTTGGTCCAGATCCATCATTGTTTGAGTCCACAGTGCTCTCTGGGTGTAGGTGAACTACAACTCCAAAACTCAAGGTCAATGCCCACCAAGCCCTACCAGTATTTTCTGTTGGTCATGGGAGTTCTGTGTGCCAAGATTGGTTCAGTTCCATCATTGGTGGAGTTCAAAATGCTCTTTGATTGTAGATGAACTATAAATCCCAGCAACTAGAACCCTCAAATGACAAAACCAATCCCCCCCAACCCCACCAGTATTCAAATGTGGGCGTATTGGGTCTTTGTGCCAAATTTGGTCCAGTGAATGAAAATACATCCTGCATATCAGATAGTTAGATTACAATTCTTAACAGTAGCAAAATTACAGTTATGAAGTAACAATGAAAGTAATTTTATGGTTGGGGTTAACCACAACACGAGGAACTGCATTAAGGGGTCATGGCATTATGAAGGTTGAGAACCACTGATCTAATCCAACATATATATAATACTAAAATTGTGCTATGCTAATTTTAAAGATGATTTAAAGATTTAAAGATGGGCTCAAAGTCAACCTTAAAAACTCTGGCATAGACACTGAGGACTGAGAAGCCCTGATCCTTGAGTGCTCCAGCTGGAGGTCAGCTGTGACTAGCAGTGCTGTAGAATTTGAAGAGGCACGAATGGAGGGTGAAAGAGAGAAACGTGCGAAGACAGGACCGCCTTCCACCTGGAAACCAATGCCCTCACTGCGGGAGAAGATGCAGATCAAGACTAGGGCTCCACAGTCACCTACAGACCCACCGCCAGTACACTGATCTTGGAAGACAATCCTACTCGGACAATGAGGGATCGCCTAAGAAGATGCTAATAATCTAATAGATTATATATGCATATAATATTGATAATAATATTATACTTATTGATAATAATATTATAATGTAATACAATATAATACTAATAATACAATATAGCAATATATAATAATATCGCAATTTAGTAATATGAATATATTAAATATAATTACTACTGATATTATATAATAATATATAACCATGTACTGTTTTATTATTGCATATTTGCATATTTTAAGTTGTAATGTTTTGATTGTGAGCTGCTTTGAGTTCCCGCACAGCAGGTTAAACCGTTGAGCTGCTAAACTTGCTGACGGAAAGGTTGGCTGTTCGAATCCAGGGAGCAGGGTGAGCTCCTGCTGTTAGCCCCAGCTTCTGTCAACCTAGCAGTTTGAAAACATGCAAATGTGAGTAGATCAATAGGTACTCCTTCTTTGAGAAGGCAACGGCGCTCCCTGCAGTCATGCCAACCACATGACCTAGGAGGCGCCTATGGGCAACACCTGCTCTTCGGCTTAGAAATGGAGATGAGCACCACCCCCCAGAGCTGGACACGACTAGACTTAATGTCAATGGGAAACTTTTACATAAAGGGTAAAGGTAAAGGTTTCCCCCTGAAATTAAGTCCAATCATGTCCAATTCTGGGGGGTGGTGCTCATCTCCATTTCTAAGCCGAAGAGCCGGCGTTGTCCATAGACACCTCCAAGGTCATGTGGCCGGCATGACTGCAAGGAGCACCGTTACCTTTCCACCACAGTGGTACCTATTAATCTACTCAGATTTGCATATTTTTGAACTGCTAGGTTAACAGAAGCTGGGGCTAACAGCGGGAGCTCATCCTACTCCCCGGATTCAAACTGCCAACCTTTCGGTCAGCTAGTTCAGCAGCTCAGCGGTTTAACAAACATTAAAACAGAATTAAATACAAACGATATTAAAACATTCAGTTAAAACCCATCAAACATATTCAAAGTTATGGCACAGGTCTGTGTTCTGTATCTGAATATTGAATAGCTGAAACAACAATCAGTGCAGAGTAGCTTTTCTGCTACTTGAGACAGGTACTTTCAGGATGTATCTACACTGTGGAATTAATGCACTTTAATGCTATGGCAGAAAAAATAGTCCCCGAATCCACCCATTTTGTTCTTGCAACAATCCTGGTCCCTTCCAATATGTATAAAATCCATATTGAATTGGAATATATGGCAGTGTGGACTCAGATCATCCAGTTCAATGCTGATATTGTGGATTATCTGCCTTGATGTTGTGGGTTATATGGCTGTGTGGAAGGCTCCCCTGTGAATATACTTAAAACCACTCAACACGGAGGAGTTGAAAAACTTGGCTCTGCAAATGACTTTCACGTGGGCTGATTGAGAAAACGGCTGCTATCAAAAAGAGCCTTTAATCTTTGGTTTGACCTAATCAATTAACCCAGGCAATAAATAGTTTTTAGATCTTAAGAATGAATAAAGCTCCAGAAACAATCTAAATCCAAACTGAACAGGGAAGAAGAAATTAGAGTGGAAGATCTGTCTCCGCCAGATGGCAGGCTGGGCCTGCATGTGCCTTTGAATTCACACAGAGGTTAATTAGCTTGCCTATGCTGGGATGCTTCTCTTCCTATCTTACCACTAGCTGTCCCCTCCCTCTTTCTCTCCTTCCTTCCCTCTTTCCTTCCTTTCCTCTTTTTCTTTCCCTATCTCTCATCTTTCTTCCATCTCTACCTGTTTCTTTCCTCCCTTTCTTTGCTCTTTGCTAACATCCTTCCTTCCTTCCTTCCTTCCTTCCTTCCTTACTTACTTACTTATCTTTTCTTCCTTCTCTCCTTCCTTCCCTCTCTTTTTCCTTTCACTTTTTTATTTCCTTCTCTCCTTCCTTGCTTCTCTTCTTTCTTTCCTTCTTTCCCTCCCTGCTTCTCTCCTTCCTTCCTTCCCTTTTTCCCTCCTTCTCTCGTTACTTCTTGACTGTCCCTTCCATTTAATATTGTATTTATATCTTAGAAAGAAGGAAAGGAAGAAGGAAGGAAGGAGGGACAGGAAGGAAGGAAAAGAAAGAAGAAGGGACAGGAAGGAAGGAGGAAGGAAGGGGGGAAAAGAAAGGAGGGGGATGAAGAAAGGAGGGAGGGAAGGAAATGAAGCAAGGGAAAGAAGGAGGAAAGGGAGGGAGGGAGAAAGGAAAAGAAGGAAAGGAAGAAGGAGGGACAGGAAGGAAGGAAAAAGGAAGGGAGGGAAAGAAGGGAAGGAAGGAAAAAAAGGAGGGACAGGAAGGGAGGGAGGAAGGAAGGAAGGAAGGAAGGAAGGAAGGAAGGAAGGAAGGAAGGAGAAGGAAAGGAGGGGGATGAAGAAAGGAGGGAGGGAAGGAAATGAAGGGGAAGGAAATGAAGAAAGGGAAAGAAGGAGGAAAGGGAGGGAGGGAGGAAAAAAGAAGGAAAGGAAGAAGGAAGGAGGGACAGGAAGGAAGGAAAAAGGAAGGGAGGGAGGGAAAGAAGGGAAGGAAGGAAAAAAGAAGGAGGGACAGGAAGGGAGGGAGGGAGGAGGAGGAAGGAAGGAGGGAAAGAAAGGAGGGGGATGAAGAAAGGAGGGAGGGAAGGAAATGAAGAAAGGGAAAGAAGGAAAGGGAGGGAGGGAGGGAGGAAAAGAAGGAAAGGAAGAAGGAAGGAGGGACAGGAAGGAAGGGAAGGAGGGAAAGAAGGAAAGGAAGGAGAAGAATGGAAAGGAAAGGAAGGAAGGAAGGAAGGAAGGAAAGGGAGGAAAGAAGGGAAGGGAAGGAGAGAAGGAAGGTCCTTCATTCAAGCACAGTGGACCTTCCTTGCCTCCTCCCCCTCCTTCCTCCCTCCCTCCTCCTTGCCTCCTCCTCCCCTTCTTCCTTGCGTGGATGCTCCGTTGCTGCTGC